AATAATACTACAGCTTCCAATTCGTTAATCGTTGTTTTGATGTTATCATTTTCTTCTGGTTCTTGGATGGTATCAGTCCTCGAGTCTACATCTATTCTCCCATTCTTAGTTGAGGCTTGTGTTTCGGCATCTTCAGCTGGATTCTGTGATTGCTATTTTTCTTTGCTTTTCGCGCTTGAATCTGCTACAGAGTTAATACTCCGAGATGCTTGTTGGTCACCACGGATTTGCCGTATTCCCCATTGTGAAGGGAATTTGATATCTTGATGTAAAGTAGATGGAACAGCATCCATCTCATGAATCCACGGTCTGTCGAGAATCATATTGTAAGCCATATCCATTTCTACTACTTGAAATTTGGTGTCTTTGACTACTCCTTCTGCGAATGTGGTGAGTATTATCTCGCCTTTTGTTATGACGCTCGAGTTTTCAAAACCGGACAAGGTGTGTGCCTTGGGTATCAGCTTATCATTAGCTTGCATCTCATTTACAACTCTTAAAAGAATAATATTCACGGAACTACCTGGGTCAATCAAAACTCGTTTGACATTAGTATCATGTACAAGTAAAGATATTACCAGTGCATCATAATGCGGGGTTAGCACACCATCTGCATCTGCATCATCAAATGTAATACTATCTTCTTCCAAAACCTGTCGAACTCGTTTCCCGTGGGTAATAGTAATTTTCGACACTTTCTTTGTTGCCGTATACGTTACACCATTGATCTCTTCTCCACCACTGATGATATTAACCGTTCTTTTTGGGGAAGGAGGTTTTGGCGGTTCCTGCCTATTCTTCATATATGCTTGCTTCCCCTTTTCACTAAACAATTCAGTTAAATACCCTTGTTTTAATAAATGTTCTACTTCACCTTGTAACAATCTGCATTCGGACGTTTTATGACCATGATCGTTGTGAAACTCGCACCATAAATATGGATCTCTCCTGTTTGGGTTTGATCTCATTTCTTTTGGCCACCGTACCATGTCTCCCATGCTTACAGCCACAAACTCGGATGTGCTAACACTAAAACTGTAACCTCCGATCTTTGCTTTCGATCTTCTAACATCATCGCGCGTATCCCACATGTTTCGTTCTTTGCCAAACCTTGATGACAATCCTGACTCTCTGTCTTTTGATCTAGAATCATACCTTGGGTTTTCCTGTTTTGAACGCGAATCTCTTCCTTCTGGTCCCATGTAAGGTTTGTACCTATTTTTACCGGGCCTTTTTTTAGTTTCAGACCGTCTTGAACCTACCCTTTCATCTTTTCGAGATTGAATGATAGTATCTTCTTCTATTCGCAGCTTCGTGCTGTATCTATTATAAACAACATTCCAAGTTGTTGCTAGAAATTCCCACAAACTATCTTTGAGTCTCCTTGTAGCTTCCGAACTTTTGCCATTTAAATTACCGGCGAAGGCCATAGCTGCCCAATTATCAGGAACGCGTGGCAACATCATCCTTTCATGCTGAAATCTGTCTATGAATTCCCTGAGCAGCTTCGTATCACCTTGTTTTATTTAAAGATGTCCTCCATTCGTTTTTCAACCTTTTGAGCTCCCGAGTGTGCCTTGATGAATGAATCTGCAAGCTCAGCAAAAGAATCAATAGAATTTTCAGGTAAAAGAGAGTACCATGTTAATGCTCCCTTCATGAGTGTTTCTCCGAATTTTTTGACCAATACTGATTTAATTTCTTGCTTGGCTAAGTCGTTGCCTTTTACACCGGTGGTGAATGCAGTCACGTGATCCCGAGGATCAGTTGTCCCATCGTATTTCGGAATATCGGGCATTTTGAACTTCTTTGGAATTGGTAAAGGAGCGGCACTTGGCTTCCAAGGTTGTTGAGAATATTTGTCCATGTCTATTCCCTTGATTACGGGCGGTACTCCAGGTATCTGCTCTATGCGATCGCTCTGCTCCTTGAGCTGTTTCTGCAAAGTTAGTACTAAATTTTGTAAATCACAATTAACTGGGTTACCTGACCCTCCATCACGAGATTCGCTAGGAGTTCCTCCACTGCCAGAGTTAACGAGTCCTGAGCGAGGATTTTCTAAGGTGTTGTTGTTTGGAGTAGGTGTTGGTGGCACAACCGGCAACTGGTTAGTGAAAGCCTCAAGAGCATTGTTGACCTGTTGAGCAATCAACTTTTTCAAAGTTTCATTAGCCTCATCATTTTCAAACTGTTCATTCATATTTGACTGAGATCCGTCAGGAGTTCCTTCTTGAGATTGTCGAGGAAAATTTTTGTGGGGAAGGGACCGGAGTTCCATTGCCTTGCTGATTCTCCGGGTGTTGATGGTCTCTCTGGTTGTTGTCATTGACATTCGACATGATTGATTTGATGGAAGAGTTGATTTAGAAAATAATAGATTATCAGATTCCCGGTAACGGAACCAATTTGTTTAACCAGAAAATAAGAATTTCGGTCAAAGCGTAATTTTTATAAGAACTCGGGTTACTGATAATCGAACAATGAAATGATTGTGTAACAAGAAAAGAAAAATTGAGATTGAAAGAATAATAGAACAAGTAGATTTTATGCAATGTAAATAAGTATATTTCAGCAATAATTAGTGTGTCATACAAATGTTATTTCTCTCATTTTATAGCTATTTCTAAGTACCACATTTCTTTCTCCTCATAATAGAGCCATTATGAGCAATTAATGATATTAATGTAACGTTGTAACTAATAATCGTAACTGTTTCATGAAGATTCTATAACGCTTCCTCTCATTGATTCTCATTAATTGCAGATAATATGTATCTGTACTTTTTAGCTAACCAGGTTCATTCTTCTGGTGTCTCTTCAAATTACCAAGAGATACGAGTAACCGTCTCTTTCTTATTTTATGGTATTCTTCCCCGTACCTATCATGGCTCACAGCTCTTTGAATACTTTCTGCCAGTTGTCATACTTTGATTAATCCACATGTCTTGACATGTCAGCATATAATTAAAATCAAACGTTAATTTGATTTTCCCCAATACAGCCGAAACTAACCAAACCACGTCTGATTGACCCCAAATTTTGCACACAAGTCATATTCAACACTACGGACCTACTCCAACTTTTGGAATCGGATTCCGACCCCGATATCAAAAATTTCACTACTAACCCAAAACTCAAAAAATTCAACTTTCGCCATTTCAAGCCTAAATGAGCTACGAACCTCAAAAATATAATCCGGACACGCCCCTAAGCCCAAAATACCCAACGGAGCTAACGGAATCGGCGGAACTCCATTCTGGAGCCGTCTTCACATTGTTCCGACTACGGTCCAAATCTTAAGACTTAAGCTTCCATTTAGGGACTAAGTGTCCCAAAACACTTCAAAAAAACTAAAACGAAACCTCCCGGCAAGTCAAAATAGCAGAAATAAATACGTGGGAAGCAGTTAATAGGGGATCGGGACTCTAACTCTCAAAACGACCGGTCGAATCGTTACACAATGAATTCATTGTTTTACGTTAGAGTGGCAAAATCAGCCCGAGAAAATATGACCCATCCAACCCGCAATACTATTTTTCTTCTCGGTAAAGAATGGAGTCAAATGCCTTAACTTTAATTCCCACTTTCTTTTTCTTTGTTTCAACATTTCTCCAAAACCTCGTGGGCGTTATGCTCCTCGAATGTATTACCAGCACTACCCTCCAAAATAAAAGAAGATTTTAGCCCTATTCTTGGTTTAAGCTTATAGAGGCTTCCCATGGGGTAGTTCCTTTTTGTTTCTTTCTGCCTTAAAGCAAATATTTTCCAATAAATTTACTCCCTGCGCGTGCATATGTTATTTGAAAAGGAAATAAAGACTCTTACCTTTTATGAACATCATAATATAAATGGCATAAGACGAAATTCATATTATGAGCATTATAATTGAAATCAGTTGCTCCTTCCTATTATGTTGAGATGAGATGCAAGTGTTAAAGTTAAACTCATATTTTATCAAGTTTTAAAACTATTATTTTAGCAAAGCTAGGAAAAGATCAAGTTTAGCCCTCAAAGTGGACAGTCTTGAGTTTTTGCGTCCGCTTGCTCCATGGGCATAACTTCAAGTTTAATAAGTATTGCTTCTAACATGTCCCTAGGCAACGTTTTTAATTTTTGACCTTAAAATTTTATCTACGGGCAAGTGAGGGTCAAAAGTTAAAGACCACCTCAAAAAGTATCATATTTCTCCAACTTTTTTGGTTTTGGGTTGTGTTGGGTTTTAAGTTTAAATGGACGTGGCAAATAAAATATAATTTATGTTTACTAACTAGAAAAAATAATCAGTGATCGTATCAGCTATTTGTGTATATTTGTGTAAAGATATCATAGACCATTAATGAAAAGAGGCCCAAAAAGCCAATCAAACAATGAAGGGTGAAGTGCACCACTAGCCACTTTTAAGCTCGCTATTTAAAATATATCCATAATTTACCATGTATTTAAAGATTAGCTAAGTCATCCAAACTCCAGGATTAAGTATCATAAATTTGGAAATTCAGAACTTAGTGTCCTAAATTTTTGAGCTACTAATTTGTAATTCAGGACTAAGTGTCCTAAATTTCTGAACTACTAATTTAAAATTCAGAACGTAAGATTCGAACTTCAGGACACAATTTTCGAACTTTAGGACACGATATCGGAAGTTTAAATTTTGAGGTTTAAACTTTAGGATGACGTGTCCCGAAGTTTGAGCAAAATTGGTGAATCTTTAAATACATTGTAAACTGTAAATATATTTTAAACAACATACTTAAAATTGGCCACCTGATGTCATTTCCACAACAATGAATTCACGACTCACCATTCAGAACGGAGGAACACATAAATACACCCATGAATAATTGGTCAATAAACAGAAGAAAATCCTGTCCTTCCTTCCCCGTTTACGGTTTACCTTCAAATTGTTTCTTTTTCAATCTGCAAATGAATTTGGCCTAACACTTGTGTTCATTCTGAGCTTTGTCCTTTAACCATCCTATAAAAACCACTCCCCTATAACTCCTTCATTGTCCTCAATCCTTAAGTTACGCAGTTTTTCTCTAAAGAAACTACTGCAAATCTTAAAGGATCATTCTCTCTATCTAATCTCTACATTTCCATTCCCCATCAATAAACCAAAAAAATATTTATATACAAAAAGATTTTTAAAAAAATGGCACGTCAAGTTATTGTTTTGGCTCTCCTCTTTGTTGCCATTGCTGGATTAGCTTCGGCCGCTAATTCCCCAAGCAGCTCCCCTTCTTCGTCTCCATCATCATCTCCATCATCATCCACATCAGCAACATCGCCATCATCATCATCATCGTCATCGCCAGCAACAACCCCATCATCATCTCCTTCTGCCTCGACGCCATCAGCAGCTGCACCAAAGAGCAGTGCCAATGCACCCGCCGCCGCCACCCCAAAATCATCTCCTGCCCCTGCCTCTACCCCTAAAGCCAGTACACCATCATCATCAACATCACCATCATCATCATCATCCCCATCATCATCTCCATCATCATCTTCATCTAATTCCTCCTCTTCTGATTCTGATTCTGTTCCAACTTCTTCTCCAACTTCAAATTCCCCTGCTGATGATGAACCCTCATCTCCGCCTTCACCCGACAGCGACTCTTCATCCCCACCCACCCCCACTACTTCTTCGGGTCCCACAGCTGACAGTGCTACTCCTGCTGAAGCACCCACTACGGCTAGCGCCGCCACTACTTTAAAGGTCTCCTATGTTTTTGGGGTTGCAGCCGTCGCTGGATTATTTTTCTAAGCTTGTTTAATTATTACGCTATTCGTTTCTCATCTGACGTTACAGAGTAGAGTGATTAATTAAATCTTCTGTGAATTTAAAATTTTGCGGAAGACAAAGAGAGAAGAGCCAGATATTGGTGAATCCTCTAATTTTAAATAGTGACTTAGCTCTGTTACGTACCTGTGGAAAATTCTTTGATTTAGTGACATGTTGTAAGGTGTCGATCATGTGTATTTTATGTTTTTAGCTTAAATAATACGATCAAATGTACATCTGTGTGTTTGAATAAATTCATTTGCATTAGCCACCCCTTTTTCCACGTCAAATTATTTTCTGTTCATATTACTAGAACAACCACTTCGAGTATTGAAAATCGAATGCAGATGTGGTCCCTTTAAACTTAACTAGAAACTCTAGTAGAGAATGCTTCCTCGTTAATGGGACCTAAGTAGTCTGAATCTAAATTATATATTCGAATTTCGAACACCAGATGATTATAAAAAAAAATAAAAAAAATAAAAAGAATTTCAAGAATCTAACAGACCACCAAGTTCACGGTATATACCAATGACAAGCGGAAAATGCCTATAATCCAACTTCAAATATAATATACGGAAAAGGGCCAAAACTATCCCTATCGTTTGCTAAATGGTTTATAAATACCCTCCGTCCATCTATCCGTTCAAAAAAATACACTCCGTCCATCTATCCGTTCAAAAAAAAAACACGAAGTTAATTCTATTAACAAAAATACCCCCGCGACTAACGGCAGAACTGATGGAGTGTGTTTTTTTGAACGGATAGATGGACGGAGGGTATTTATAAACCATTTAGCAAACGATAGGGATTTTTAATTGGGCCACGTGGCAATCTTTGACTGGAACAAAAAATGGATATTATTTCAACCCATTTACCTTATCCGATCCATTTACAAAAATGGGTAGTATCTATCACACCCATTCCCACTCATCTGATCTCCCCCTTTCTTCTTCTCCAATTGGGACACTGCATACACACAATAACAAATTAATTAAAGAATAGATAAAACCCAAATCAAATAACCCGAAATTCAAACCAGATTCTGAAATTTCTCCAATCAAACTCAGCATAAGTATTGAAACTCTTAAATGGAAAATCGACAGATACATTTGGGTTGTTAAGTAAGAAGACAAGGATCAAAACAAATCAAAAATCTGAAACAAAAAAATTTAGCCCAAATGCTAAAATTGTCCAAATATATCAATCAAATCTAGGAGAAATATTAAAACTTTGAAAGGGACAAGTAATGAAAATCTTTGGATCGTTCATAAGAAGACAAAAGAGCCACGAAATAACAAAGAAAAAACAAGTACATATAACTGATACAAGCACACAAGAAAATTGAAACCAAGGTGCTAAAAAGCTTGAAATTATCACATTCTAGGATAAAGATTGAATCTATAAAAGGTAAAAAAAAAAAAGTAAAGGGTTACCTTTGGGATGTTCATAAGAAGAAGAAGAGGAGGACAAAGAGCCATGAATTGCAGATGAAGTGAAAGCCAAAGCCATATTTTCAAACACAAAGAAAGATTGTTTCAACAAAGAAACGCTAAAAATTCTTTGTGAGATGAGAGTGGGTGTGCTGGGTGATAAGGAAAAAGAGAGGAAAAAAAGCAAAGAAAAAGAAAGAAAATAATTAGGCGGATCAAATAAATAGGGACGGACCAGGTAAATGGATAAAAATCGCCACGTCACTAAATGAAAGACCATCCCTATAGTTTGCTAAATGGTTTATAAATACCCCCCGTCTATCTATCCGTTCAAAAAAATACACTCCATCAGTTCTGTCGTTTAGTCGCGGGGGTATTTTTGTTAATAGAATTAACTTCGTGTGTTTTTCTAGAAGGATAGATGGACGGAGTGTATTTTTTTGAACGGATAGATGGACGGAGGGTATTTATAAACCATTTAACAAACGATGGGGATAGTTTTGGCCCTTTTCCGTATAATATATATTCAAGTATTTGCCTAGGTGGAGGATAAACTAACGTTTACTGGCTCCTCTCTTTGCGCCTTCTCTCCACATATATAAAAGGAAAAAAATTATAAAAGAAAATGAAAATAATCATACTGTTATAAAACAATAAAAGAAGTAAAAGAGCATTGTAGAGAAAAGTAGAGAGAGGGTATTCTTATTGATTTGGGACCAATTACAATGGAATAGGACCCCTCTATTTATAGGGAAAGAGTGACTTAGACACCAAATAAAATCCTTAAAATCTCTCTAAAATATAGACATTCACCTTAAATAGAATTCTATTAATAACACTCCCCCTTGAATGTCTATTCAACAGATAATGTGCCTCGTTAAAACCTTAACTAAAACAAAACCCGGTGGGAAAAAAATTCTAAAGAAGGAAAAAGAGTACACATATCTAACAATACGCCTTTTAGTTGCCTCATTAAAAACCTTCCAAGGAAAACCCAGTGGACAAAACATTATAAGGGAAAAAGAGTACAACGCGTATTGATATAATATATGAGTCCACCAAACTATATAGAGACCAGATCCTCCATGAGTTTCCACTGAGAAGCTAATAGAACAGTAAGTAAATAAGACAGGGAGATTTTACATGGAAAAATCCCTGCTCAAGGGGATAAAAAATCACGGCCTACACAGGTAGGATTTCAACTTCACTATGAGCAACTTTTAGATTACAACCTATGAAATCTAGGAATTAAACTCTTATCCCTCACTAACTTGTAATGCACCTATTACAAGCCACTTTGCAATACACTTATTACAAAGACTTCAACTCATGACTAACTCTAGTCACGACACAAACAATAAGGGTTTATGGTTTTACAAGGGGGTTCCTAAGCAACGCTTCTAGATAAGAAAATTAGGAATTACAATGAAGAACAATTACAAAGTTACAACTCAACTAAGGACAACAAGATACTAGATTTAGGAACTGGTCCGTAGTAGTGTTAAACTTTGTTCTTGATGCACTTGAAAATTGAATGCTCAAGTTGATTCTCAAGTGTTCAAGTAGTGTTTTGTTGTAATGCTCTTTGTTAATACAACATGGATGACATTATTTGAGTGATGTAATCACTTGGTAGGTCAAATGAGAAGTGACTGCAGAACCTGTGCTGCATTGTTTCTGTGTACAGTGCTGGCAGTCACTTTCCAGCTGTAGACAGTTGACTTCGTCCTGCTGTCAGGGAAACACAAGGATATCAGGTCCCTGCGTTGATTCTCTATCTTCTGAAGTCGTAGCAATTCTCATTAGCTGGAATCCATTGATTTGAGTTGTGTACCAAATGAGTCAGGTTCCTTATCTGGTGCTTTGACAGTAACTTTGTTAGATCATCAAAACACAAAGCTAAGGCATTGTAAACACATCAATATCCCCCTTTTGATGATGACAAACATAGAAACTGATAACGCGTGTTTAGAGCAAAAATAACCAGATGAAGTGACAGGAACTTCACAAGTCCCCCTGACTTTATACGTTCCCCTTAAACAGATCCCTGTTTTCCAAATTATACACATAAAGCAACAGGAACTAGTTCCAGATTATACACATGAAGCAACAGGAACTAGTTCCCCCTGACGTTATACTTCATCATTAAAAATACACAAACAGGCAATCAACATAAAGAAGTCTAGCCTAGCTAACTCATGCCATATATGTGCACAAAACATGATAGAAAAGAAAAGCAGAGACATAGAAGCATTAAACAGCAAAAGAGAATAGATTTTATAAAACATATGCCTTTTTTATACAGGAAAGGCAGAAATTGGACTTATTTCAGCGGGAGCAGTACAGGTACTTCCCATTTATACCAAAAAAGAAACAAAAAAAAAACTGCCAATGTCAACAAAATAAAAACATAATTAATCCAGAAGCTGGTCACTGAAGGGTTGGCTAAGGGACACTAGGAGGAGAGGGCTTGGAAGCTGCAACAAGGGTGTTGAGAACTAGATCTATTCGGGCATTTGTCGACGTTTGCTCGGTGAGCAGTTTCTCCTTCAGGTTCTCCACTTGTGCCCTGAGATCAGCATTTTCCTTGGTCAGACAAAATATCTCCTCATTTGACCCTGGACCCCCTTGGGCCTGCTGACCTTCCAGTATAGCATTCCTTGCCTTCAGCCTTCGAATCTCCTCAGTTGCACTGTTTTGAGCATTGATGAGCTGAGAGATTGTTGAAGTGCTGCCAATTCCTCCATTCTTTTCGATACACTCACATTCCTCCATAGTTGTTTGAGAGAAGGTCTGCTGCTTGGTCCCTACTTTGAACTGTCCCAATGGCAATTTGAAGAACTTAAAGGCGGGCGTAAGAAGAAAACCATATGGAAGACCATGGTTGCCATCCTTGAAAGTCGCCACCTTCTGCATATGCTCAATCATGATGGCAGGCAAGTTTACAGCTTTAAATCCATCCAGTGCTTCCATCATATATAGGTCATATTTAGAAATAATGGACCTTCTCTCAGCACGGGGTAGAAGAACCTTGTTCACTAGCTCGAACAATAATTCATAAATGGAAAGCAAGGCTTTCTTGTGAACCCGTTCTCCTTGCTGGGTTGCACCTTCCTTCACAATAGCATTCCTGAAGATTGACCCACAGACATTCTCGACAGAAGATTTACCAGAAGCAGGGACCTTAAGAATGTCCCCAAGCAAGGCAGCATCCAACACAATATCCACTCTATTAACCAAGGCACAAATATGGTCAGTGTCAACAGGAAAAAGTTCGGCATAGAAGCTTTGGACCTCATTCTCATAGACCTTGGACACATCCACTTGGAACAGATGTCCCCACCGTTGAAACTCAACCATCTCAATTATTTGTCTCATGCCAGCCATTTCAGAAATTGCTGGGTCAAAAGTGCGACCCCACAAGACCTTTTGGTGCCTCAATCGTTCTGTAGCAGACATACTCTCACCCTTCACTCTCTTGGCAGAATCAGGTTCTCTCACAGTTTCCAACTTTCTCTTTTCAGACTTCACACTCAATTTTCCTTTTCCACTAGACTTGTCCAACACATACTCATCAGAAAATAATTGTTCACTCACAACATCTTTCAACTTTCTACCACTTTTTGTTGATCTTGAACTAGGCGTAGTAACACCTTCCTCTGAAGCGAATTGCTTCTTCTTCTGGGACCTTTTAACCAAAGAACTGGGTTCCTTTGTTGCTTCCTCATCAACTTCTACCACAGGAATGTCCTTGTCACATACTGCTTCTCCATTTTTCACCAACCTCTTCTTTTTCTTCTTACTGCTCCTTTTGCGCTTTTGTAGTGCAGACTCATAA